TTTTTTCGTTTGTACACGCATGTGGAAGATCTGCTGAACCACTTTCGCTTTCATTTGAAGATGTAGACACGTCTTTCGCGCCTAAAACTTTTTTGCCACAAACTGAAGTAGTATTATTTAAATCAACGGGGTTGTCATCATCCGAGGATTCCTCTTCGCTGCGATGTTTACACAAAGGAAGAATCGCTTGTCGTGACTGTGTCGGTCTTCAGCTCACCTTTGGCCGTCTGGTTTTTCTCTGACATCTCTTGTTGCAATCATCATCACCTTCGTCGCTACTGTTCGATATCTGTCGCTTGATACTACAACGTTTGAATTCTGTTTGTTTAGATATATCGAATAAATCTTCGCTGCCGTCAGAATCCATTTTTTCATCTTTCACGTCGTTCTCAGAGGGTACTTGCGGAAAATGCGCATGCAGGCGAAGCCGGAAATTTGTGGTCACTTCATTGGTGTGCACAACCTTTAATTGACAGTTGCAAGAAAGGCGGGAAATTGCATGCTCCTTATTGGCTGATAAGCGGCGAGCCCCAGTTATATATACTTTTGTTTTTTTCCACATTTGGGGCTTTTTCTTCATCGCTCTTCATCGCTGTTAATCGCTCTTTAATCAATTGGAAATGACGCGTAGAACTTTAATCAAACAGACACAAAAAGGTAAGAAAACTCCTTGTACCTTATTTGATCAATGTTCTCTGGCTTTTTTTACATACTCAAAGACGAATAAGCTTATCTTTTTTTGGGCAAACTTCAACCATACTACTGTTTGTTTGACAGAAAAAAATGGAGAGGATCGAGATTTTTTTCTCTTTTCCTTTCTGGATGACAACACATTTTCTCTAGTTCAAAGGAAGCAAATCTCATGTACCGACAAAGACATTAAACTTGGAGCGAAACTAAAAGTAAAAACCGGCGCCAAGGTGTACATGGGTTACTTGTTGAATTTTGGTAAGTAGCCTAGCTAATCTACTCCATTTTTCTGTGAACTTCAGCAAATAAACAATATTTGACTTTTGACTCCACTAATTATGTGTGATATGAATAACTAGACAGGGTCCTTTTAACAGGTTCTTACACGAGAATGACTTTCTCAAAACTACCCTGCGTGAACCAGCGTCATTTTGGCGGGAAACGTGATAGCCGTTGTCATACTACTAAGTTGTGGTGGCTCTTCCAGTGAAAAAAAAAAAACCTTGCTAATTTTTACGGTGAAAAACGTACAATGAAGCTTTTGGTGGTGTTTGCTTTTTGAGAACACGGAAAAAACTTTAAAAGAAATCTTGCCTCGAATCTCGAGAACCTAGCCTATGGCTTTATTAAAAGTCCTAAGCTATGCAAGCGAGAGAAGACAAAAACTCAGTCACAAAATGATTCCCAGCAGTTATATAAACTTGAGAACAGAAAGAAAATAACTTGCAGGCAGTGGTGAAGGATTGGATCACAGCACTTAGAGAATCCCGTGAATAATGTCATGGTTTTGGAAGCCAACTTGACGAGAAGGCAACTGCGTGAGAAATTACAGTGTTTTTATGAGAATCTAATGTCGCACAATTTCTGTAAAACGGCTTTTCTGAAGAAAAAAAATGAATTGTGAACTAACGCTTCACTCCTAAGGATTCTACTAAAACAAAACAAATTGAGGGCGTTACATGTGCTAGAAGACCTAAAATCACTTTTAACATTTTTTACACATTTGTCTGTAAAAATTTCCCGCGAAAAATTGCAGACAAATGTTGAAAATCTAAAGCAAGCCTCTGGAAAAATCTAAGCACAGGTACCGCCCCCAAAACTTATTAATAGAATCCTTTGCTGTGTAGCTTTAGTTTACAATTGATATGTTTTTTAGAACAGCTGTTTTACAGAAATTATTCGACATGAGAATCTCATACAAACACTGATGGCTTCCAAACCCGCGACAAGGTCTGTGCTACTGCGATATTTCCAGGGCGGGAATGTACAATAAAACAATTTTAAAGTCTTTTTTAAGCGACCAGGATGTCTAGTTTGTTGGGGTGGTGCAATAGAGCCTGCTCGTGGGCTAATGACTAACTAATTCCAGTAACTTTCTTCACAAGGAACCAAAGAAGACATGGAAACGATCATTAAATTGCAATACCCGACAGGTCAACGCATCACAGCAGGTGAGGTTCGGTTGCTATAAGGTTCTTCTACATAAGAAAAACTTTGGTGAAATCCTATGAAGATGATTACATCCTCGGGGTATAAGAAATATTTATGCATTTTTGTAGGGTGCGCTGCCTTGCATTGTGGTCATGTTATGCACTGTTCACATCAAATGGTTCACAAAAAACTGGTTAGAGGAAATGTTTGTCATGTATGTTATGCTATTGTAGCTAGCTAGCATTATAGGCTACCTAGGATCATAAATGTTATGGTTAACATACCGTAAAATTGCGAAAATAAGCCCCGGGGCTTATATTTTTCAAAGGCCCTTTTTGAGGGGCTTATGTTTGGAGCGGCTTATAGTCGGAGGGGCTTATCTACGGAGGGAAATTTGCGTTTCAAAATCCATTGGGCTACCCTTACAGTTGCAGGGAAATTTACCGTTTTTGCTTTGTTTTAATTTGTATTTGAGGGCAATTTCCAAGTACAAGCCCCCGGGGTCTTATATTTGGAGGGGCGATTTAACGGAGGGTTTTTTGCGTTACGAGTTTGGGGGGCTTATATTTGGAGGGGCTTATTTTCGGAATTTTACGGTATCTTTGCTTTTGGCTCCGCTTTCTTTGCTCATAAAGTTCAGTAAAAATTTTACTACCAGATAAAGAAGAGCCAGTGAAAGGCAAAGGGGAACCAGTGAAGTGTGCAGCTTCAGATCAAGCTGGTCTACAATCCAGGAAATGCACGGCACAAGCACAACCAGATTTTGTCGAAGATAGCAGTGACGATAGTGGAGATGAATTCATGAAGGCGGAACAAGACAAAGTTGCGAAACTACTCTTAAAGCTTGGAAAGAAGGCAAGTACCGTATATGATATAAATATATTTACTGGTATGTGTTTAAGGAAAGAAAAGCTGCCTTGAAAAATTGAAACAGCTAGCTGATCAACCCCCCTTCTTAAGTATGTAATCTGACCTTGTAGGGTATTTGACCTAAGAACGTGATCCCCTGGTTTTAAGGAAAGGGTGAAGTTAAATTGCAATTTCCAGAACCTTGGGGTTGACTGAAGGGTTTTTAAAAATAAAAAAATATATAATTTTTTATGGACGGCATGCAATGTTAATTAGTTCATGAGAGAGGTCGAATTAAAACAAAAGTTTAATTTTTTGCAATTCATACAGCCAATCGCCAACATACCTGCTCGGCCAACGTGCACAGCACCTGCAGCTTGTCAACTGGAGAAAAAAATTCTACATTTGGAACGGGAAGTACAAGAAATGAAAGCATCACTGGAAAACATCAAAAAAAAAACTCTCCAGTACTGTCCCAGCTGTTACTTGTTCTCTAAACCATGTAGGTTCAAACTTTTGGCTTCAATAAAATATTCTGCTTAGTTTAACTTGATTCTTGTATGGTTTATTATACCCAACTGAAACTGCAATTCTTACAAACAAAGGTTATAACCCCATGCTAATGTGACAGTACACATGGAAACTATGTAAAAGTAACAAGCATTGTTATGTACCACTTACTATTTGTTGAAGAGTTTTAAAAGTCGAACACACCAACAGTAACGTTATAATTTTAACTGCAGCTAACTATGTTTGTTCACTTCTATTTTAGTCTCCATCTGGTTCAAACCTTCATGGCAACGAGGCTCCTGCTCTAAATATAGCTCTCAGTAAACCAGAAATTGTAAGAAAAGTTAAATTAATTTGTTTTCCCCCAAATATTCATACCTACCTGGCAACCATCTTGGAAATTCGAGTTTACTACCAGTTAAGTGTCAACAAACTTTTTAAAACATATCAAGATAAGTCTGACGCTTTGTTTCTTAAAAATTCATACTTTCCTTGGAACAATATAACAATTTGTTTTAATTTTGAGACTCTGCCCCCTCAGAATTTCCATAATTTTTGAACTTCTCTCCATGGATGGTGGTTATGTGGACAAATAATATATAATTTCACTAAATTATAGCTGATATGGTGATCCATATAAATAATTATTGAAACTTAAATTAATTGTGTCAACGGTCAGTATAAAACAAGGACCGCAACCACGGCAGTGGAGAAAGAGCCAGGGGGAATTTAAAATATCACAAAATGTTATTATCATTAAATGTTACAGGATCATAAACGTATTATACACCTGTAGACTACACTATTATTAATTAAGAAAAAGTGCACATATGCAGATACATGTATAATGACATGCACCTTATCTAAATAATAGAGGCAGGAAATTTCCTTTTGAAGGATTAATGACCTGTTAAATTTCTTTCAGTAGCATAATGGCAATAACCTGATGAATGCCAAAGCACCCCCCAAGGAGCCCCCAAGTGTGCTCTGAACCTCCAAGACATGTTATTCCAGAAACAAGAGCTGGGTGAGGGAAGAAGATCAAACAAACCACCTCTGGATGAGGCTAGAGTGAGCAAAATGTTTGGTAAGTTTATACCTGAAACACAGTTATAATGTGGTTAACAACATCAACAATAACAAAACTTTATTACAAGAATTAAAACCCAATTATGCATTTGCATCTGACCACCAGTAGGACACACAGTGGGCCATGGGGTAGGCGATGGACACTACTATGTTTGTGCTCAGGGAGCCCACACTATCTGTTTGTGTAACCAATGTAATTTTATGGTTAATAATATACATGAAAAAATTTTTCGATTGTGATTGGCTAAGAGAAATGCAGTTTTTTGGTAACACAGTGCAGAAAAAAGGTAATTTAGTGCAGAAAAGAGGTAACAAACGAGGCATTCTGATTGGTTAATAAACAAAGGAACTCACTGAGAGCCAATCAAGTACGCCATCTGAGTGGCGCAAAATTTGGATCCACTCTTGACCAGTTTCGAGCAAAAACCGCAATGGCTGGCGTTTGTAGCAGATTTGCTTTTGCGACCACAACAACTATAGAGGACATGAAAAACTGCTCCAAAAACGAAAACACTGCAAAAAGCACCGATTTTTGGCTCTCTGTTTGGAAGAAGTGGTGCTTAGAGAAGAAAATTACAGATGAAATAGAAAATTATGAGCCAGCTGAGCTTAACACTTCGCTCGAGCATTTCTACGCCGAAGCAAAAAATAAACAAGGTGAAGATTATGAACCAGAAAGCCTCAAAGTAATGATGGCATCGCTTGACAGACACTTACAGAACAAAGACTACACCTTGTCCATTGTACGTGACCGAGAATTTAGTTCGTCCAAACAGGTGTTGGAAGGCAAAGAGAAACAGCTTTGCTTGGCTGGCCGTGGTAAGCGCCCAAACAAAGCTCGACAAGTATCAGAGGAGGAAGAAGAAATTCTCTGGAAGAGCGGAAAACTCGGAGGTAATAACCCAGAATCTTTAATTCAAACAATGTGGTGGCTCCTTACCCAACACTTTGGTATTCGTGGAAGGCAAGAACACCACGAAATGAGACTGGAGGATTTCAGAATCATGAACGGTGACGACGGCATCGAATTTGTTGAGTTTGCAGAGGGGCCTACGAAAACAAGACCTGGAGGTTTGAGGGCAAAGCCAAGACAGTTCCAGCCCAAAATGTTTCAGACCGGGCAAGGAAAATGTCCAGTTGCTTTATTTCGTCAGTACATTAGCCGTAGACCTCCCAATCTGAGGACGAGCGGTCCATTTTATCTCTCGATAAAGTACAACAGACAAGCCGACGATGAAATTTGGTACAAGGTACAGCCCATGGGAGAAAATAAAATCAACTCCATGATGAAGAGCATCATCTCCGGAACCAGCCTTGAGACATCTGAGAAGCGGTTTTCCAATCACAGTGCCCGTAAAACAGTAGTCAGCAAAATGAAAAAGGCGAATCTCGAAAGGTCGGCAATTGCAAAAGTCACTGGTCACCCATGCACCCATCAAAACAGTCAAAATTCGTGGACGTCCCAGCCCTTTTGTAAAATGCGAAATTCGGGACCTTATGAGACTTAGAGATCATTGGAAGAAGGTGGCCCGGAAAAGCAAAGATCCACATGCTTGGTCTGAATACAAAAACCTTTGTCGCGAAGTCAAACATGAAATAAGGACGGCTGAGAAAATATTCATCGCGGAGCAAGTTGTAAACAACAAAAACAACTGTAATTGCCTCTGGAGAGCAATCCGCTTGTGCATACCCAAGAAGTCCGCTTCTCAAAGGAATTATTCCAAAGATGACAAAATTGTTGCTGATGAATTTAATAATTTCTTTTCCTCTGTAGGAAAGAGTACCATCAATAGAATTACTAAATTGGCAGAGGAATCGAATTATACTCTTAATCAATGTTCATTTATTCCGAGAATCTACCCATTGTCAGAGCAGTTCACCTTCAACGCAGTGAAGTGCGAACAGGTACAAAAAATTGTCACATCAATGGCCAGTGGTAAGGCCCCTGGGATTGATAAAATCCCAATCCATGTGATCAAAGATTGTTTGCCTGCTATCTTGCCATCGTTAACGTCTATTATTAATGCTACCTTTGAGTTTGACACCTTCCCTTTGGCCTGGAAAACAGCTGAAGTGACACCGATACTCAAGGCTGGAGACCACGATATTCCAAACAATAATAGACCGATTTCATTACTCCCTGTCCTTTCTAAAGTCTGTGAACGTGTCGCTCACAATCAACTTACGTCATATCTACTTTCGAGAGGCCGTTTATCATCCAAACAAAGCGGAAATAAACAGTGGCATTCAACGGAAACATCTGTCATTCAAACAACTGACGAAATCCTAAATGCCATTGACAAAAAGAAACTGACTGCAGTTGTCCTCCTTGATCTAAGCAAAGCTTTCGACAGTATTGACCATCAAATACTCCTCGCTAAGTTACAGGACATTGGTGCGTCCAGACCTGCGATAAAATGGCTCGGAAGCTATTTAACCTCGCGATACCAATTTGTGCGAATAAATACAACTCTGTCGACCAAACTACCTGTTAGTTCTGGCGTTCCACAAGGGAGCATCCTTGGCCCATTACTCTTTAACATCTACGTTAATGATCTCCCTTCTGTGCCAGAAAATTGTACATCGCAGTGTTACGTCGACGATACCAAACTTCTCATGTCATTTCAACTCCGCGATCAGCACGAAACGATAGAAAAAATGAACAAGGACTTGTTAAGCATTAGGAATTGGTGCTTTGATAATCAGCTTTTACTCAACCCAGATAAAACAAAACTAGTGATATTCGGCAGCCGGCAAATGACTGCTAAGGTTAGCGACTTTAGGCTATTTCTATTGGGGAAGGAACTCGAGCCCGTTAAGGCTGCAAGAGACCTTGGTGTCACACTGGACTCTAACTTAACATATAATGAGCATATTGTTTCTACTGTATCCTCATGCATGTCACGTTTGGGTCAAATTAACCGCGTTAAGCATATTTTTAATAAACACGCGCTAATTATTATTATAAATGCCTTAGTTTTTAGTAAATTATTCTATTGCTCTTCTGTTTGGAGCAATACTACTCAAACTAATCTGGACAAGCTCCAAGCAGTACAGAATTTCGCTTGTCGTATTTTGAGCGGCGCTAAAAAATTCGATCACATAACTCCTTTGCTAAAAGACTTGCGCTGGCTACCAATCAGGCAACAACTTTATTTTCGTTTTGCTGTTCTGGTTTTTAAGTGCATGACGAGTTGTGCTCCGGAGTATTTGACATCAAAGCTCGTTGGAAGATCCGCCGTCTCGACAAGGAATACGAGAAATTCTCAACTTTTGAACATACCACTCTTCCGCACTGCCAGCGGCCAAAGGACCTTTCAATATAGAGCAACCTCTCTCTGGAATGAGTTGCAGCCTGCGCTCAAACTTAGCCCATCCGTGACGGAATTCAAGTGTTTACTCAGGCAAAAGCTTCTTAATGACTGCTTTATTTAATTAATTTAATTAATTTTATTGACCTTTGTCTTCTTTTATCATTGTTATATTCTTATTGTCATGTACTTGGTTTATAATTTTGTAATGTAAAATTGACTCTGAAAAGCCCCGTGGGGACGAGCCAATAAAGTATGTATGTATGTATGTATGTCACAGAAATATCCAATCTTTAGATGACTATGATGAAGCAGACGAAGACGAACAGCGACAGCTTTCGTGGGCCATCTCACGAAAGAACAGCACACCGAAGCCAGCGGGTAATACACCTGGTCCTTGTACTTAAAGTGCAGTAATTCCTCATAAGATGAGTTCACAAGCGCAGAATGTAATGAATTCCTTCACCAACTGCAATGTAACATTCAACCTCAACAACAAGACTTCGCCTACCATTCGCCCTTGCAAACGGCAATTGCGTTTCATCGAAAGTGACTCCGATACAGATTGAATGATTCCATGAACTGTTTAGCCCGTTTCTGCGGCTTGTAAACTTTAAAAACGTCGAGAAAAATGTTGTTTTGACTGCACGTGTGATGATATTTGCAGCACTTGAATAAATTATTTTTGCACGTGGTTTACGTGATTTTAAAGCTATCGCATTTTTTTCATGAATATTATTAATAAGTAATCACATGATTTTTCTCGTGCAATTTGGAATAAATAGGCACTCGTAAATTTTTTTAAAGACCACAAATTGCACTCGCCCTACGGGCTCGTGCAATTTTGTTAGCCTTTGAAAAAATTTACTTGTGCTTATTTATTCCAAATTGCACTCGAAATCATGTGATTACCTGTACAAATTGTATTTACGGTTTGCTTCATCTGTAGAGTTGTATCGCTAAATATGTGCAAAGTCAAAGCTAAATAAATGTTATGTTACCTTACCTTTGCCTGAGAAGTGGTAATTTGAGTGATTTTGAAGGATTTTGAGTTCGCTGTTTACTTTTCCTCTTAATAGACTTAATAGACTAATGACTTTCATATTACGAGGAACAGTAAAAAGCTAAATCAAAACCTTCAAAAATCGCTCAATCGCTTCTCAGGGAAAAAGGACAACAATTTACCAAAGGTAAGGTGATGCAACCTTTAATTATTTCGCTTTGATACGTGTACATATTTAGCGATACACCACTACAGATGACGCAAATGGCAAATACAGTACATTCACCATAAAATTACATCAGTTACACAAGAGATTGCTTGGGCAGCTTGGGGTTTGTCTCGTTGGCTTTCATAAAGAATACAATAACGGATGACATGACTTTTTATGACACAAAATACTGTTAAGTCAATTGATCTGGTCAGGCATGACTTAAATTTGCATGCGGGATGTATTGAAATTAATACAATTGTACAGTTGAAACAAATTTCTCCATTTATTTTCCTAGATGCTCTCAATGCTCTCTACAGTGCTGAGAAAGTTCAGAGGTATGAAACTGAACACAAAAATTTTGTGTCCAGTTTCATTCCTTCCTTGAAAAAGGATGCAAACAAAGTGAACTTTACAAAAAGGTTATATTACTAATCACTGGTATTTAAAAGAAAAGTGCACTTTACGACTTAAAATATACATTGCATGAATGCATGGCCAGCTCGTTTAATAAGGCATTTTTAAGTTACCTGTTAACTTAATTACTACATTAATGATAATTCCCGAAGTTCTTTAGTTGTTTGCAAAGTATTTTACCACCATTGCAATATAACAATGTTAGCGAGAAAATACAAAAGTACATGTACAGGCAATCTATGCATGCAACCGGAAATGCAGGGATGTGGCAAGGAAACTATGAAACTGATAGAAAAAGGATGAAAATTAGGTTACGTTTACAAAAGGGTTAGCACTGGTCACTGGTATTTAAGAGAAAAGTGCACTTTACGATTTAAACTATCATGAATGCAGCTGGCTCGTTATATAAGGCATTTTTAAGTTTGAAATACAAAATAATGATAATTCTCAAAGGTCTTTAATTGTTTGCAAAGTATTTTATTGCCATTGCAATTTAAACAGTATTAGCGAGAAAATACAAAAGTACAGGCAAGCTATCATAGATGCATGCAACCAGAAAATTACTGCAGGGATGACGTGGCAAGGAAGCTATGAAACTGACACAAAAAGGATGAATATTCAGTTACCAGTTTACAAAAAGGTTAGAACTTGTCACCGGTATTTTAAAGAAAAGTGCACTTTACGATTTAAAATATCCATTGCATGAGCGCAGCCAGCTCGTTATATACGGCATTTTTAAGTTACCTGCATTACAGAAACGCGCCCATTGAAAAACGTCGCCCGTGAAAAGTGGGGTACCCATTAGGCTTTGCGAGCAAAAACGAAGTTTCAAAGACTACCGTCGTTTTCGGTCTCTTATGAACTTCATAGCGGTTAACTATTCTCACACTTTCAAGAGACAATGCAGAAACAATAGAAGTAGGTTGCCATTGTTTTAAGTGTTGGAATGCCTTTGTCATTGCTACAAAGAAGAAAATGTTTATGCAAAGAGAAGCATTTTTCTTCCTCGTGCACTAACATAAAACCCTCGCGAATTCGGTAGTCTCGTGCGAATCGTTTTGATGGCAAAACAGTTAAAGCTAATCAGAAACCAAAGTATTCTTCACTTAAAAACTCATCTTCACGAAAATCACTCGATAAGATTGAATAAAAATGTTTACAGCGTTTATAAATATTATTATCAGAAGCGGTATTGTAGTTGTTTTCAAGAGACGGATTAGATCGCTGTTTAGGTTTGGCCGTTAAATATGTAGTTATAGCGTTCTTAAAGAAAGTGTCGCTCTTAATTTTGCCTTATACTTTGCTAAAATCAATATCTTAAATGAAGAATGTAAGTGAGAGTGCTTTTTCGTCGAATTTGCCCGTAAATTTTAAGGTTTATAATATTATCCAAAACCCGTGACAAAATGTAAACAAACTATTAACGCATCGGTTGCGTTCATATTTCATCGATCGATTCGAACACCAAGAAGATTGTAAAGATTTTAAGTCAGTGCATTGAATTATTTACGGCAAAATCAACAACAATCATCGAGGATTTTTCAATTTTGAAGCGTTTAACAGCAAAAAGTCACATGCTAATTCGGAGTAAATTTAGACAGTTTTTAAACAGACTGAGCTATTGTTAGTCGCGTAAAGTTCTATTCTTCATCGAAGAATAGGCAAATGTTGCGGATGTCTGAGCAGGAACAATAACCAGGAAAGGGATATACCCAGGGGATTTCTTGATTGACACTAAATTAACGTCATTTTTCACTTATCTGCATTTTCACGATCGACGTTTTTGAATGGGCGCGTTTCTGTAATGTAAACTTAACTACAAAATAATGGTAATTAAGACGGACTCCCCTAGGAGATTGAGTAATTTTAATTTTTAGTGGACAAAAACCTCGTACCAGATTAATTCAAAGCATAATGCATTCTGTTTTACAATTTCCAAGGGCTAAAGATGTAATTAGTCGTCTGTATTAACACCAAAGAAAATTTCTCGTGGGAGTCCGAGAAAATAAGTGTCAAATTTCACAAGAATTGTGAAAACACAGGTAAATGTAATTTGTAAGATGTAATTTGGGGAAATTTGACATTCATTTGCTCGGGCTCCCATAAGAAATTTTCTTTGGTATTATTACAGATGACTGATTACATCTTTACCCTTGAAAATTTTAAGAAAGAATGCAAAACGCTTTTATTATTCTGGTACAAGGTTTTTGTCCACTGAAAATTAAAATTATTCAATTTCCTGGTGGATTCCGCCTTAATTCTCAAAGTTTTAGTTGTTTGCCAAGTATTTTACAACCATTGCAATTTAAATTTAGAATTCTAAGGTTAGGTTGATATATTTGTGTTGACCTAACTAGAAACATTTTTGTAAGTTTTAACCATATGCTTTAAAGACATATTGGTCTGTAATTAGAGACTTATAACCAACATCTTCAGCATGCAAGAACTTGGAAGTGTTTTCTTCAGCAGTTGTTGCAATTAGATCTTACATGATCTAACAAAATTTCTTGACCAGACTATTATCAGAAATAATAAGATCTTGTCAAGATCATTGAAAGATCTTGTCAAGATTATACAAGATCTTTTCAAGATCATTGAAAGACCTTGCCTACATCACTGAAAGATCTTGCCAAGATTGTTAAAAGATCTTGCCAAGATTGTTGAAAGATCTTGTCAAGATCATTAAAAGATCTTGTCAAGATCTTACCAAGAACATGCAGCTTCTTGCATGATCTTACAGGATATTGTCTAAGATCTTACATGATCTTACCAAAGATCTTGCCAAGATCATGTTAAGATCTTGCCATGATTTCACCAAGATCTTGTCAAGATCTTACCAAGGTTTCCAACCTGGGTGGCATTAAAGCAGAATTCTGATTGTTGAGTCCTGGAAGAAGGTGTCTTGAGTACTTGAAAGTGCTGGAAATTATTTTGTACAGAACACTAGCTATTCAGTGGTCACTGCATCCAACATCCCATACAGACAGTAATGTTTATTGTCTTTATCAAGGATGGCCATTGGAAGTTCTGAGAGAGGCGGTTGGGGGGAGGGGAAGGGGGACAGAGTCAAACCCTAAAAATACATCTGCAGTTATTTTGGGGATGCTTGAGTATGTAGAAGTAGTGATGATTTTTGAAAATGCAGGGAAATCCCTTTGATAGTGTTCCTCTACTTAATATATCTCCACAGTATTTGAAAATGCAAGGCTGAAAAGGTTAAAATTATATGAGAGGCAGCTGTTCTCTTCAGGGCCTTGTTAATTGTTTTATATATTTTTTGTTTTGCAGAGAAATGTTTCAACTGTGGTGGGAGGGATCACATAAGGACAGACTGTTCCTGTGGGCCCTCAGAGAGGGCCAAGGGGGCCCAAAGGGGAAAGTGGAGGGGAAGAGGGGGTAGGAGGGCAACGAGTTAGTCTGTTATGCAGGGGTCTAGCCATTGTCATGTTATCTTGTTTAGAGTATCTCCTCTTCATATGACATTATACCTCCGTCTTGTTAACCTTTTTCTGATTCTTGTGGTGGCCAACCAGGAACTGTTGAATGTTTCATTTCCTTTGCCTGCTGGGTTATATCAGCAAAATAAAAGACCAAAGACTTATCTCCAGTGGCAATTTACTAGTAATGGTAAACCGAAAGGTAGCGAACACAGACCATGACTTCTTCCCAAAACAGATGTAACCTAAATAGGAGAGTCCTCAAGACAGACTTCTAAACGACCCAAACAAGGAGCCTGGGCCTGGAGAAGAGAAGTATTACCATTATCACCAGCGAAAAGGACACCTTTTAGCTAAATGCAAAGCCTCCGAAAAAAAAATGCTGGAAGTCAGAAACAAATGTTTTCTTAAAGTAGGACATATTTTTTTCGCTGTTTATTAGCAGGCCATAGAGGCTTCATTTGCATAATCATGGCGGCAACACGTTCAAAGACGTCCTCTGTTTCAAAACGTGGAAATTTTGAGGAAGACGATGTCCAAATGCCCCTTAAACTAGTGAAAGAGTTGCTTAAGCAGCAAGAGTCAACTTTAAAAGTGTTTCTTAGTGCCTACATGGATTCTGTCAACACTAGAATTGACAACTTGAAGAAAGATGTGCAAAGTGTTAAATCGAGTTTAGAGTTCACACAAGCTCAAGTCGAGGAGCTAATAACCTCTGACCTTAGAGTAAAGGAAGTCAAAGGAATTCATTACCGAACGACATCAAAAATGCCCCGTCTTTTAGTATATTCAAGCATGTGATCAAACAGAATGCAACCTAAATACCTTAACACCTCATATCTATATTTTCCTCTAAACACACTTATATACTTAAATAACCGACTTTTTTCTTTATATCTTAAAATACGGCCTTGTATTTAAATTGCCCGTGGGGGAAATCTCTATTCCTCATAAGTTCGGCTTCTCGGACATTACCCCGCCACAGTCACTCCTCCCAAGAAAAGAACAAATTTTAAATTTCATGTTAATTAACCTATTTATTATCGTTTTTATTCTGCTTGTAATTCATTGTGTGTAGCAAAATAACAAATAAAATAAATAAAATAAAATAGATCAAGTGAATGTAATGCAGTCGTAAAATGCGCCAAGTGCGGAGACGACTGTCATTCCATGGCACTTCACAAAAAGACAAACCTGCCACGGCAGGTACGAAACATGGCAAGGAGCTAAAAACGGCCTGCATTTCGGTTTCCCACAAGCCCCTCACCAGGGGAGTGTCTTGTAGCAAGATTGTTCTTGTTGATTTTCTCTCTGAGAATGGTTCTTAAAAGCCCCATCACACTTATGCAATCATAGACGACCAGAGGAATGCTTCCATGATAACTCCAAACCTAGCGAATAGGTTGGCCCCAACCAGACCAAATATCAAGTACTTCCTGATGACCTGCAGTGGTGGGAGAGAAGAAAAGTCTGGGAAACGAATTTTTTGTGTTATGCTATGCTCCATGACCGGCATAATGGCTAGGCTTCCTCAGCTTGTCGAGTGCACAAACATCCCCGAGGACAAGCGTAAAATCGCCATGCCAAAGATCGTCAGATAGTGCTCTCACCTCAAGGAGATTGCCCATGAAATCCCACCTTACGATCCCAAGGCGAATGTTGAGATCCTTACCAGAAGAGAAGCACCAGAGTTGTTGAAGATAACAGCTGGCAGAAATGGACCTAAAGGAGCTTCATGGGCCTAGAAACTAGACTTGGGCTAGACCATCTCGAGCCAAATGTGTTTAAATTGAGTCGGTGGTCCAGTGCAAATCTCAGCACACCACACAACAATGGACCATTTAGCCAAGTCTGTTACCAGTTATCCCCGAAATGACAAACGCTTCCTCCGAATGATGGAGATGGGAACTCACAAGAAGCAACAGGGAAACAGGGAGATGTCAATGCTGTTTTGCTTACCTACCACCTTGATGCGTAACAAGTGACCTTTGTCTGTCAACCCCCTTAACGGCCTGCTTCGCACCCTCAATAGAAAACCCAAGATGAAAGAAGATTACTTCTAGTTTATGGGAAAAGTCTGCGAATGCAGTCATGCAGTTCCAGCACCAGAGGACGAGCTGTTAACACCTTACATTCCAAAAGAAAGAACCATTGAAATGCTCCGAATTGGACTAGGAGCAGGCGGCAGGAGTCGGCAATAAGGGACGCGTATGGTACTTACCCCACTTTGGGGTGTATCATCCCAGGAAACCGGATCAGATCCATGTGGTGTTCAATTCGTCAGCCGAGTTCCAAGGGGTCTCACTCAATAAGGAACTCCTTTCTGGTTCATGACCTTATGAATAGCCTTGTCGGAGTGTTAATCCGCTTTTGTCAGGATAATATCGCTATGATGTGTGACATTAATCAAATGTTCAAATCGTTTCACGTAGACCCAAAGCACCAGAACTTTCTTCCATTCCTTTGGTTTAAAGATAATCCATCCAAGCGAATCATCAATATCAAGATGACAGTGCACCTGTTCAGCAAAGGCCCAGTCCTGCTATAGCCACCTTTGGGCTACGAAAAATGGCAGACGACGGTGAAGAGAAATACTGGAAAAAAAAAAGAGACTTTGTCCACAGAAACTTTTATGTAGACGACGGGCTGACCTCATGCCCCATGAAGAAAACAGGAGAAGATCGCGCAAAGAACATCAAAGCTCTAGACCTACTACCATCGCAACGCTCCCTTGGGGTCCACTAGAACATCAAGAAGGACTATTTCACCCTCTATGTCGCGCTGCCACTAAAGCCCGTCACATGAAGAGGAGTTCTCTCTGTAATAAACTCGTTGTACAACTCTCTGGGACTCGTATCCCCAGTCATCCTGGAAGGGAAACTAATACTACAGAAACTCGTCATCATGCAAAAGAAGGTGAACGGCAATGATCCTCTTGGTTGGGACGATCCACTTCCAAAGGACATGAAACACTGCTGCAGTTGATGGAGAGACGTGATGCCCAAGCTGGAAAAGTATTGATTCGTCGTTGCCACTCTCCTAAAGGATTCAGCACTATGATAAGGAGAGAGATACACACATTTTCTGACTCAAGAAAGGAAGCCACCGCAGCTGCCGTGTACCTGCGTGAATTGAACAGTGATGGAGTCGTAAGCGTCTCTCTTCTGTTCGGATGGTAAAAGATGGCACCAACTCACACAACGCGCATTCCTAAGTTAGAGTTGTGCAGCACAGTACTTGCAACACAAGTCGTAATGATGGTTCACAGGGAGCTTGACGTTGAAATCAACAAAGAAATCTACTACTCGGACTCAAAGGTTGTACTTGGCTACATTCAGAACGAAAGTGGAAGATTTTACGTCTATGTCGTGAACAGCATCCAACTTTTTTGTAAGGCAACTGCACCAAGTCAATGGAGATGACACGTTAAGATGGCAAACACGCTTGAAATCAGCTGCTGAGAAAACTTCCAATACAAATGGAAATGGTGAAAGTCTAGTTCCTCTAGACTTTGTCAGAGAATTACTGAAGGTTCAAGAGGACACTATCACAGTTTTTTTCTCTACTTTCACTGCGTAATGTAGCTTCCTACAGTTTTCAGAAGATGATCATTTCCACATCCTTAAGTTTCTGCCATGGTGTTTTTTACTGCCTACAAAAAAAATCTTAAATTTGCAAAGAGAGTTATACAGATAGTAACTCTTATCCTTGATTATTGTTTTACTCTCTGCCTCATTCAATAACTGTTAGAATAATTGAGTTGATGTCTCTAGTGCTCTGACCACACATGTCTGTGCGACACCATCTGGAAGAACAGATAGCTAATGAAGATAAGGGTTATGCCATTAAGACAGTCAAGCATAAGTCTCATCATGAAAAATGATATGGTATCTATTGTTGACTTGCATGTGGTTAATAGTACAATAAGTAGCAATTGTTATTGGATTTGGATTTATATAATAATAACTGATAGAATAATTGAGTTGACGTCGCGATTGCTCGGACAACACATGTATGTGCGACACCATCTCGAAGAACAGATAGCTAATGAAGATAAGGGTTATGCAATTAAGACAGTCAAGAATACGTCTCATCATGAAAAATGATATTGTATCTATTGTTGACTTGCATGTGGTTAAGAGTACAATAAGTTGCAATTGTTATTGGATTTGGCTTTATATAAATCGGTCAAGGAGGGACTTGCCTAGACTGAAGGCCTGGGTGGATAACACCCTCGAAGATTTGTGTTATTATTCATTCTACCAGATACCTTCAGCATAGGCCCCCGCGTTACTCACATGCAAGTGTGGTAGGACTTTCTGGTTAAACTGCAGATACCTTAAACCATACATGTATATCAATAATTTAAAGCTGTCACTGTCGATGTTTTTCTGTTGTTTTCTCTTAAGTTGCATTATCATACAAATATAGATACTGTTTCAGCTAAAAGTCAAAGGGAATTTGTTCAATCGACCTAAAATTTTGAGGAATGTTTCTTTAATTAGTAAGCAACAAACAGGTGTTGGGGGAATTTTGTATTTCTTAAAACTTTGTTGTTGAAAGTAATTTTTGTATAACCATCCAAATTTTTTTGCCCTATTTACAAATTTTTCTGTAACTTTTCACCACAATCGAAATGGCAAAACCTCAACAAGTTTTAAGCGCTTTGACTTCCAAAAGAATAGAACCAAATAAATGAATGAAAAACAAAAACCGCTTTGAATTTTAGCTTTGGAAAGGTGATTTGGGTTCACATTAAACGAAGCGTAAAAGATTGACAGCACAAGTATGTTTAAAAAAATAGGGTTTGAGGTGTCTACAGTTTAACTAGAATGCACTACATCACTTGCACGTAACACATCCCTGAAGGTACAATGTATCTGGTAACACTAAGTTCTTTGCAGATACTCATATTGTAAGATAAATCAGTTTCCACTGAATTCATTGAAATCCCGGCTCAGTTTGTGTTTCTGGGTACTCAGACCTCAATAATGATACTGAACAGAACAAGATACAAATAAAACGAAGCCGGTATCGATAGCACTAGTCCTGTTTACACTCAGTTTTGTAGAGAACAGCCGTAGTGACTCTACGTTGTCTCCCACCTAGCCGTTTTGGTCTCGTCACGTAATGCTCCTCCCGAATAAGGGGGGAGGCTTTTCTTTGACCTTTAAAGCCAAAAACAAAACAGCGGCTTTCCGGGCCCTGTAATTACTGATACTTTTTTTAGAAGAACTCGATGTGTCTTTAACGGGTGGGATCTTACTTAAACGAAGGTTGTACTTTTATTATTTGGTGGGGGGAGCATAATGAATACAGGTTCTTTATTACTACATATGTTGTTTGTTGCGTGTGAAGAACGATTAAATGGAAAATCTATCAATTGCAATGACTGAGGATAGGGAACCCAAAGACATAAAGCCTTTGCCAGGTCTTTGCGCTCCTTATGATCATATCTTTTTTGACTTTTAGAGCAATGAAGTTAAGAGTTGATACCATATGCAGCTCCAGGGCTTAAAAAGGGCTCTCATATTCATAAAGAACAACGGAGTGAGCATCAAGACATTGGTTACTGACCGTCATTCTGGTATAAAAAAGTATTTGCGTGAGAACGAACAGGAAATCAATCGCAGATTCAATTGCTGCCATTTGGCCACAAGTAAGTTATAAGACATCTTAAAACCTTTTATCAGGAAAGCTTCATAACGGCGGAATTTACAACGCAATTATTTAATATTCAAACAGCATACATACGCATTTTGAATGAAATTGCTTTTATTTCCTCATATTCAGAAAATGATCGCAACAAAAGGCCTTTCTACACAGTTGACTTGAAGGAATTTCTTGGCCAGTTTTCTGGGATCTACAGCTGTATGAGTCCCGTTACAGACAGACCTCCCCTTTTTTAAGTGAGGCTTGTTTGAGCTGATGCACTAGCCTAATGATATGCCTGTATGTTTATGTCTGTTTTTTTTTTTTCAGACATATCAAAGAAGATCGAGGCTCGTCCAAAGAAAAAGTCGTGCGCTGTTCTTGGAAACCGGAAGCAAAGTATCTCAAATCACCTGTACTGGTGTGCTGCCAGCAGCCACGGGGATGGTGAACAAGTGAAAGCCAAATGGCTCTCTATCTTAAATCATGTGATGAACATACACGAGGGACACTCAGAAACCTTTCCAGAATGTGCCCATGGTCACTTAGAAGAGGAAAGGAAATGGTTAAGGAGAGGTAATGCTACCCAGGAATAAATCCAAATTATTATTATTCTTGCAGACCCGATTTCTGTCTATATAAAAGTGTGACCTTGTCGCTTAGAAGCCTTGCACAAGCACAATATAGGGAAGATGGGTCTCCACACTGAAACCTACATCTCCTTTAACGTTGTACATGTTATATGAGTAAACACTGTGGGATGTGTCGTATTGTTTATAGTACTTTTCTGAAAAGACTAGGCTAAAGTCTAACTCTTTGCATAACTTTCTTCACAGGTTCGAAAGCGTTCAAGGAATTGGATGGCATAATCACAAGAAAGTTTTTGCTGAAGGACATCCCAAAATTGTCCCCTGACAAACACACATCCCTTGTCGAGGTCCTTCATAAAGTGGATATCTATTTTGCACCAAAACACACACATTTTTTCTACCAGGGAATGAAAGCAAGGTATAAACAATGTCTCTTAAATGGGAAGCGTTTAGACACTTAAACTTTATGATCTTTTTGGCTTACCACTTCCATAATAATAATTATCATGCAAGTGGTAAGCCAAAAAAAATCTATAATTATAATTATTATTACTGATATAATTAATATACAAAAAAAATCCATGACTTCAAGATTCTGCAAGGAAAACATGGTATTGTTTTG